TAAAGACGAAGTTTGACGCAGTCAAGACACGCCACTTCTCATATCAGATACTCTAGACATCTCAGGTATGAGGATCCATAAACGAACCGTTGTATGAGATTCAAGTCATGACTCTGTCCATGAGACAATCTCATGCGGGTCATCCAGTCACTCGTTCACAACGAGTATCCATGATTGTGATCTACATCCAATGCGTTGATCACACCTCATGCTAGTCTTGATTCAACATTGTTCCCACAATGATGACTGACTAGGGAGTTTAGAATCATTCTCTAATGATTCAAGGATCCCGCAATACAACAAACATGCTAATCGTATAACGGAAAAATAATGCATTCATAAATCAATGAATCAATACAAAGTCAAATGTCATATCATGGATCATCTTAGAGCATTACAACCAACACCTTCCACATACCCAGAGGCTACGGCGAGTCCCGACTCCGAGAAATGGCGCGAGGCGATGAAGTCTGAGATGCAATCCATGTCAGACAACCAATTATGGACTATGGTTGATACATCTGAAGGGTAAAACCCATCGGATGCAAGTGGATCTTCAAGAAGAAGACAGACATGGATGGCAACGTGCACACATATAAGGCACGACATGTGGCGAAATGAAGATTCATAGTATTGACTATGATGAGTCCTTTTCGCCTGTAGTCATGCTGAAGGCCATCAGGACCCTGCTTGCCATAGCCGCATATTACGACTATGAGATATGGCAAATGGATGTCAAGACCGCGTTCTTTAACGCAAATTTGACCGAGGATGTGTATATGACACAACCCGAAGGTTTTGTCGATCCAAGAAACCCGAGGAAGGTGTGCAAGCTTCAGAGGTCCATCTATGGACTGAAGCAGGCTTCGAGAAGCTGGAACCTTCGCTTTGATGAAACAATCAAAAGGTTTGGTTTCTCACAGAACGAGGACGAGCTATGCGTTTACAAGAAGATCAGTGGGAGCACAGTAGTATTTCTAGTGATGTACGTGGATGACATTCTCCTATGACGTTCCTACCTTGCAAGATGTAAAGTCTTGGTTCAGAACGCAGTTTTCTATGAAGGACCTAAGAGAAGCGGCCTACATTTTAGGCATCAAGATGTATAGAGATAGATCGAGGCGGCTTCTGGGATTGAATTAGAGTACCTACATCGATAAGGTCTTGAAACGGTTCAAGATGGAAGATTCCAAGAAAGGAACCTTACAACGGTTCGTTTATGGATCCTCATACCTGAGATGTCTAGAGTATCTGATATGAGAAGTGGCGTGTCTTGACTGCGTCAAACTTCGTCTTTAACCAGATGATTATAACGGCGTTGATCAGATACGTTCACGAATCATATGGAGATAGTAGACATGCAATATTGGACTTGTTACCTCCTTAACAGGAGAGATATCGCTGGGCCCCCTCGTGGAAGTCGGACTATAAAAACGCGTGGCCACGCTATAGATGAAGTTGCATCTATTTTATTAGTCGATTTGCCAAAACGAGAAAGCAGTTGAACTTGAAGGGTGACTCAAACCATGCCCTTGTTCAACATATGATATCGGGAGATA